GGGGGGGGGCTCAGCGGGGTCCCCAACCCCCCCGGCCAGGTCCCTGTAGGGGTCCCGTAGGGTCCCCACGGGGTGACGGGGTGCCCCTGGGGAGCTGGGGGGTCCAGAGAATCTCGTCGAGGTCTGGGGTCCCCGTGGGGTGCGAGGGTCCTCGTGGGGAGAAGAGGGGTTCCCCCCCCCCAAGTCAGGGGCCCCCATGGGTGCTGGGGGTCCCTATGGGTGACGGGGGGTCCCTTGGGGGTCCGCCTGGGGTCTCTGGGGCTGATGGGGGTCCCTACGGGGTCCCCATGGGTGACAGGGGTCTCTCTGGGGTCCCTGGAGCTGCTGGGGATCTCTATAGGTGACGGGGGTCCCTCGGGGGTCCCCACAGGCTGCTGAGGGTCCCCATAGGTGACGGGGGTCCCTCAAGGGTCCCCATGGGTGACAGGGGTCCCTCTGGGGTCCCTGGAGCTGCTGGGGGTCCCCATGGCCCCCCTGCGCCCACCTGGAGGCGAAGGTGCCCAGGATGTCGGAGCAGACGCTGGGGGCTGGCCCCCCCCTCCCTGCCTGGGTGTCCCCGGGGGGGTCCCTGTGGGCCCCCCCCTCCCGTGTCCAGTGTCCCCACGGGTCACCTCCGCAGCTTGGGGGTCCCCAGGGCCCACCTGGATGCTGAAGGAGCCTGGGAGGATGGAGCAGAAGACGGGGGTCCCCGGGGGTCCCCTCCATGCCTGGGTGTCCCCGCAGGGTCATCGTGGGCCCCCCCCCCCCGCGTCCGGGGGTCCCCACGCGTCCCCGCAGCCCGCCCGGGTGACGAGAGTGCCCCGGACGACGGAGGAGGTAACGAGGTCCCCCGGGGAGTAGGGGGTCTCTGGGGGTCCCCTCCAACGCCGGGGGTCCCTCTGGGTCCCCAGAGGGTCTCTGTGGGTCACCTCCGCTTTCGGGGGTCCCCATGGGTTCCCTCCACCTCTGGGCGTCCCTGGGGGCCCCCTCTACGTCTGGACATCGCCATGGGTCCCCCCCCAGACCTCCCTGCAGCCCGCCTGGACGGCCTGGGACAACGGAGAGGACGACGAGGTCCCCGTCGGTCCCCCCCGCGCCGGGGCGTCCCCCC